CTGTCTCTCAGGGCAACGAATGCGTTTCGGTGACATTTTTCATGGACCATTATTCTTCCGCTTCCAGACTGACTTCAGGAGGTAATCAGCAAGGGGACAGTTAGTTGAGCTGGGAGACTGGTGTTGCTGTGTGTGTGTATATACTGTAGGAAAGGAGAGATAACGTACAGTAACTGCCTTTTCATCTTGAGTTAAAAATCCAGCTTGTTGGAGGTGAGCACTGTTTTAAACTTCATACGGTGGTCCCTCTTTATGTGCAGAAAAGGTTTATTAAACTGGGACTCGTGGGACTGAATATGTGAAATGCAAGATGTTTTCCTGAATTTCCTGAATAGGCAAAGTCTGTTTTCAAGGATGTGCAGCGTTTTGGTTTGAAAGTGGGATTTAATTTGTGCTAAGATAAATATTTAGGAAAAAATTAAATGTGACATTATACCGTAATCCCCTCTTAGAAGAGATGGCAAGCACAAGAAAAAACATAAACAACCGTTTTTTTTTTTTATAATTGTGGTACCCCTTCCGTTAAAGAAGAAAACCAACAATGGTCACTGCAATAACTTGAAACTTGACAAAAGTAATAATAAAATCACAAATGTACTTGAAAATTAAACTAATGAAAATCAGACATTGCTTTTAAATTTTGGGTTCAACAGAATCATCAAAAACAAACTAATGAAATTGGCCTGGACCCCTGACACTTCAATATTTTTGTTGCACAACCTTTTGGAGGCCAATCAAACTGCAACAATGCATTTCTGTAACCTCCAAGACTTCTGCCACCTGGTCAACAGGATTTTGGCCCACTCCTCTGAGCAAACTGCTCCAGCTGTCTCAGGTTTTGAAGGATGCCTCTCCAGACTGCATGTTTAAGCTCCTTCCACAGATGTTCAATAGGATTTGGATCAGGGCCTCATTAGGAAGGCAATTGCAGAATAGTCCAATGTTTTGCTTTTAGCTTTCTTGGGTCGTTTTTAGCTGGTGTGTTTTGGTCCATTATCCTGTTGGAGGACCCATGGACCTTGGCGACTGGAGACCAATCTTTCTGACACTGGGCGCACATTTCGGGTTCCAGAATGCCTTGTAGTTCGTCTTGAGATTTCATTGTACCCTGCACAGATTCAAGACGCAGACCCAGATGCAGCAAAGCAGCCCCAGAACATAACCGAGCCACCTCCATGTTTCACAGTAGGTACAGTGTTCTTTTCTTTATATGCTTCATTTTTGCGTCTGTGAACATAGAGCTCATGTGACTTGCCAAAAAGCTCCAGTTTTATCTCATCTGTCCAAAGGATATTCTCCCAGAAGCTTTGTGGCTTGTCAATATGCATTTTGGCAAATTCCAGTCTCGCTTTTTTATGATTTGCTTTCAATAGTGGTGTCCTCCTTGGTCATCTTCCATTCAGTCCACTTTGGCTCAAACAGCGACCGATAGTGCAATCTGACACTGATGTACTTTGACCTTGGAGTTTACCTCTAATCTCTTTGGAAGTTGTTGGCTACAGTCCCTTGGACCTTAAACTTCTGAATAATATGTGCAACTGTAGTCACAGGAACATCAAGCTGCTTGGAGATGGTCTTATAGCCTTTACCTTTTACATGCTTGTCAATAATTTTCTTTCTAATCTCCTGAGAGAACACTCTCCTTAACTTTCTGTGGTCCATGTTCAGTGTGGTACACACCATGATACCAATCAGCACAGGACACACCTTAGTTTAACATGTACCTATGGTCAAATTATTTTCAATCTTTTCTAGGGGTACCATCATTTTTGTCCATGCCAGTTTCATTAGTTTGTTTTTTAAAATGATTCTGTTGAACCACAATTCAAAAGCAATGTCTGATTTTCATTAGTTAATTTTCAGTACATTTTTATTTATTATTACTTTTGTCAGTTTCAAGTTATTTCAGTGACCATTGTGGGTTTTTTTTTTCTTTAACAGAAGGATACTTACAATTTTGTTCACGTATGTATACAAATAAAGAGGAATTAATTCCTGTTAACAGGATATTTAATCAATTTTTAAATGGTGAAGAACAAAATGTACAGGAACTACAATCTCTCTATTTCCAGAAAGGCTTTTCAAATGCATTTGAAATTAAACCATCTAAGTTTATATATGTCAACGGTAAAAAAGAAGTTGCAGCAGTTTATATAGACCAAAGACAATAATAGGGGGACAAAAGATCACTGATTTGCATGTGCCATGTCTGTCAGGTGAAGCATAAAGCAGACACCAATTCATATTATGATTCTCAATATGTATAGCCTAATCATATATCAACTAGTGTGATGACCTGCTGTCTCTATCAAATCTGTAGTAAGGGGTAAGAGGGGGGGAGGGGGAGAGAGAGAATGACTCTAGAGTGTGTGTCACATTGACAGTTTCCAGGACAGGTAGTGACAGTTATGTATGTGCATTACAGTTGCAAAATCTCACTTCTTCAGTGGTGATGGCATAGTGACCTTTTCAACATTGGATGTTCTCACAGTAGTGCAGGTGACAGTACA